CTACTTTGCTGCCTATTTAATCATATTTCAGCCACTTTGGTACTGATTAGATTATTGGAAACTCTATCAATTGCAAAATTTTAGCCTTTCAAGTAAAGCCATTCAGTGTGTGTCTAAGCTTAAAAGTTTTATTGCCCAATTTATAGAGAACAAATCACATTTTACACCAATTATTAAAAAAGTCTTCATACCTGGTATGCATAAAATATCTATCATAAATTTTATATAAACTCAAGTGTGGAAGAAACATAGTTTTTAAAATTTTTAATAATGGAGTGTAGTTTCTTCTTAATTTCTATTTTAGGCTATCACAGTGTAAACTCCTCTTTTCTCTCTCCCCACTCCTAGTTCAAGGAATGTTTTCTCATTTTGAGACTGAGGCCCAGAAAGCCTTGCTGTCACCTTAATGTTATATACCAGATATTCTAAATCCATTGCTATTGTCCATGCTGTAATGACTTTCTCTCCCTTCTTACAGCCAAGAAAAGACATATTCCTTTCTTTCTATCATGTCATCTTTTTTTTTTTTTTTTTTTTTGGTACCAGGGATCAAACTCAGGACCTTGCACTTGTGAGGCAGGCGGCAGAACCACTGAGCTAAATCCCCAGCTTGTGTAATCGTTTTTTAAAAATGAGCAACTCACTGACTGAATGGGGAAAAGAATACGGGCACAAGGAAATACCAAGAAAACTACCAGTTAACATTAAAAAATATGTTCCACCATATTTTCCCAGTTGTATTTTGCATTCTTACCAAATTATTTCTTATCTGATCAAGAATTAATAAAAATAATATTTACTAAGCACTTCCTATATGCTAGGTACTATGTCGGGTACATATATCAATTACCCAACTCTCTTTATTTAAAGTGTTCTGTTAAGCTCTTTACTACATCTACAGGAGGTAATTAGGCTTCTGGAAGACAAATTTGCAGCAACACTGGTTCATTCAGCCTTCTCTGTTCAGTTAAAATAAATAAAAGAACTCTTCACTTTAGCCTTGTCCTCCAGTAACTTTAGTTTTTACGGAAATTTTGTTGTACTTGAAGACAGCTATCTAATAAAATAGAACAGAAGGCTATAAATTACCTTTTGCAGATACTGAGACTGAATCTTTCAAACATGCACTATATTACTCTACAAGTTTATATAACCGAATAGCCTATTACCAAATATACAATAATAAATCAAAATGCATTTATTGTTAGATTAAATTACTACAGTATACTAATGTTTTCATCAATTATTACAGTCCTGTTACTGAAAAATCTCAATTTCTTTTATGTCCGCAGTTATAGACCCCAATTATATCCAAGTCTGGCCTTAGTTATGGAGAAATAATGATTGTAAATCATTCCCTTCACTAGAGGGATGGAATAGCTCCCTTCTATAGTGCAACTCTTGCAGTATAGACGTTACAATTATTGTAAGATCGAGAGAGACTCGGGGAAAAGAAGAGTTGTGCCCCTCAAAGTGGGAGAGCCCTGGGCAGGGGATTTAGCTTAGTGGCGCCACCCCTGCCTGACAAGCACAAAGTTCTGAGTTTGAATCCTATCCCCCCACATCAAAAACAGAATGGGTGGGCCTTAGATGAGTGGCAGAATTAGAATTTGTATTCTTGCCCTTGATACCAGAGAACAAGGTGTTAACGAGACTTGCCCCCTTGTGGTGGAAAGTAAGATGACACTTGCTCCCAGTAGGGAGGGGAAAAAGGTTCTTGTAAAACCCTGTGACAGAAAGAAATGAGCCTGGACCAGGGAGAAGACAGTTGAGATATTATAACCCGCTATCTGTCCGTGTATCCTGGACTTTGTGTAAATATATTTTGTTCTTCTTTGAGGTTGTTACATTTATTTTGAAAATGCTACCCAAAGTTAGATGTGGTAAGAGTAACCAAGGGAAGGGGTTTACAGGGAAAGATTGGAAGCAGCAGTGATCCCAGTGAGTAAAAGCTAAAGAGAAAGTAAAATTCAGCAAGAGTTGCTTCGTACAATGTTTGCAAAGTATAGTTTTTTCAATTTATTTCAATAAGAGAAGTGCTTTCTTCACAGATGCTAATGCCACTGGCTTTTAAAAGATGGAAAAGGGGAAAGAGAACTGACTTATTTCTTGTTTGCCATGCATTCAATCTCATCCCCACAAAACACTGTACAATAGAGTTCTATCCTGTCTTCGCATGTATTTTAAGCGTAGGTGGAGTATTGCTATTCCCAGTTGATGGAAAACCAAGGCCTGAGTTCACAGTTAAGTAAGGAGATACGCGATGTTTTTCTAAACATCATTCTTGATGATGCCAAAGCTAAGCATCTCATAAATCAAACTAAGAAAGGATGTAGACTCAAATTTGTTTTTTATTGGAAATTTCAATAATTTTAGTCCATTCATTAGAAATTATTGAGATTAAACAAATTGAAGCAAACTTTCAAAGGAGTAAACTAACTAATGAAGTAGAAATTATTTGGAGTTGGAAAGTAGCTGTGAATATGGAGTTAAACTTGATTATGGAGGAAATGGAAATCAGTAGAAGAATTCAGTTTTCATACTGTAAATAACAACAACTTATGAGCTTTTAAGCAGATGTGTTTCTTGGTGGAAACAGTATTTAGAGAAAATTATTCTAACAGTAGATGTAAGTTAGATTAAAATTAGAGCAATTATGATAAAATTGCTAGGAAGCTATCATGTGAATGCAGGCACAAATAAGTGTCAATTCATGCTACACTTTATTTAGAAAACTATTGTTTATTTTCTGACAGAAACATTGTTCAATTGCCTTTGTCTTCTTTTTTATGTTTAAAGGGAGTGAATAGTTCATTCTTTTAGTTACATTCTTACACCTCATCCCCATTTCACCGATTCTTTTATCCACATTTATCCTACCTTTGAAAACTGCTTTTAGCCCTGTAATTTTCATGTTACTCTCTGACCATTGACAGTTTGATTTTCTAGCTTAGTGTATAACTCTGTTGTGTGTAATATCCATAATTTTCTTTTCTCGCTTAAATACACATGACATTTTACTTTTTATTCTGTCTGTACATTCTGCACATACTAGCTCTAATTTTACTCTGTGTGCCTTGGGGAAGCAATAATGGGAATCCACCTAATTACATTGTTTTTCCAGTTTATTCCTTCTAGTTGTGATAATGGACTTTAAAAATCACTAGACATTTACCGTGAGTATAATATCAGTCACAGTGTATGATTTGTAATACACAAATATAAATAGACTAATTTGTTTTGAAGATAAAGCTCTAACTCTAATTGAGAGAGAAGTTATGGTATAGGCAAATCATTAATAAATTCTAATAACATAGACAGTCTCTAATAAGGCTTTATTTGCTATAGTTCCTTTATATTACTACTTTACATGTAATTTATCTTGAAGGCATCTTAAATCTTGTAATGAAGTAGGTAGTATTATTACTATATAGCTAATATTTATTAAACAATAATGTGTAGTATTATGCTAAATACATAGATTATCTCATTTCACTATTATACCAAATTAATGAAATAGGTAAAAATCAGTACCAGAACTTAAGTCATTTTGACTTAAAGACTATATATTGGATAAAAATGCTACCTTGGCTTCAATAATAAGTAATTTTGGTCCCAAAATGATTTCATGGCAAACTTGAGACAAAATTCCAATTGTAATAATATTATTATTTTAGTATAATTTATTTCACATTCTGAACCTGAAGAGCAATCCTAATATATATAATCATCTCAACTCTGTATGATTTTCAAAATAATTTTATATGCTTTATTAATGCATTTATAACCATGTAATTATTGAGTTTTAATTTAGAATTTTCAAGCTATTTTTCTTATTGACAGATGATTAAATATCAAGCAACCTGGGACCAAGTTTGATAAGATCTAGAAAGTAAACAAAGCATTGAACTGTGAGGCCATAATCAAAATACATCTCACCTCATTAATTATATATATGTAATTATTATAGGTCAATTAAGAAATAAATAAGTAAAATATTTTAATTTTTGAATAATTTTCACTAGGGAAAATTAAAAATAAAGCTCATCAGCAAAAGAAAGAATAAAATGTCAAATTAATAAGTAAATGTTAAAAATAACATTAGAAAATTCATTACCTATTCTTAAAGTAAAATTTCACGGAAAATGCAAAATTTTAACTACCCTATATTTATCCTGAGTCAAATTTTTAATTTCAAAAATATGATATATATATATAAAATATCCATAGGTACATATTTTACTTCACAAAACCTGTAGGACCATTTTTATAATGCATCAGTGTACAGTAATTAAAAATTACCAATCCTAATATTATAGGAAAGCTGACATACCATGGTGTATTACTTTGTCATGTCAGGTTTTCAAAGATTTCTTTTCTAAATATAAAAGTTAAGAAATTTGAAGCACTGTACAAAAATTAAATGTACCTATGACTACCATGGATTTCATATGAGATATATTCTTTATTAAACAATTCAATAAATGATTCATTGAAAATTTTCTCAAATTTCAAAGCATGCTATGATTATGCTAGTATATATACCTCAAATTACCTTATGTCTTTCAATTATAGTTTTAGAATCTCTCTGACATACAGGTGAATCTATAAGACTAAAAATTATATTCTCTCTCCTACGTGTTAATACTCTCTACTAATAGATGGCATTTATTTCTATAGATATATTTTAGTTAAATTACAGTTCAGAAAATTTTCTGCTATTGTAATTAGTGCTATTATTTGCAGAACTCTTTGATGTGAACTCAATTTCAGAACGCTTGATTAAAGTACTTAGAACATCTCTGGTGTTGTTACATCTTTACAAATTATCACTGAATGGATTATTTTTAACAATTAATAATTAAATAGTAAATTCTTTTCAACTATTATGAGAGTCTGAAAGTTTTTTGATAGTTTTTTAACAAGAAACTGTTTAGTGAAATTAAATTTTTTATAAGAAAACATTTTCAAATTTTATAAAAATGTTTTGTATATTGCAGGTGTTGAAGCAGAAAAACATACTAAAAGACAAAAAGAAACAAATGTCACCACACAGGTAAACATGCCAAGTCATTATATTTTTTTGATAGAAATTTGGGTTATAAGCACTATTAAGAAGTGTTTATTCAAATGTTCAACATCACTGGTCATTTGAGAGATGCAAATGAAAACAAAGCTGAGATTCCACTTCACTCCAGAAAAAATGGCTGCTATCATGAAATCAACCAATAACAAATGCTGGCGGGGCTGTGGGGAAAGAGGAACCCTGCTCCACTGCTGGTGGGAGTGTAGACTGGTGCAAGCACTGTGGAAATCAGTATGGAGATACCTCAAAGAACTAGGACTGGAAGTCCCATTTGACCCTGCTATTCCACTGCTGGGGATCTTCCCCAAAGAATTAAAAGAATCATACCACAGTGATATATGTGCACCCATGTTCATAGCAGCACAGTTTGTGATAGCTAAAACTTGGAAACAGCCCAAATGCCCATCAACTGGAGACTGGATAAAGAAAATGTGGTTTTTTTATAAAATGGAGTACTACTCAGCCATAAAAAATGAGAAATTAGAGACATTTATAGCTAAGTGGATGCACATTGAGGCAATACTCTTAAGTGAAATAAATAGGACACACATGAATAAATTCCGAATAGTTTCTCTGGTGTGAGAAACTGAAAGTGTAAATAAGGACTAAATGTATAATAGGTAATGTGAAATAGGAAGAAAAGGGGCAAAGGGGAAGGAAGTGGGAGGGCTAGGGGAAAGGATAGAAGGGAATGGTATTAATATGAGAAAATGGAAAAATAGGAACAAAATCTTTGTAAATAGGGAGGACTGGAGGGGTTGAAGGGAGGGCTGGGCAAGGGTGAAAAATAAGAACCAAGAGAGATTATGTAAAGGTGCAAATTTCCAATGATGAATGTCATTATATTGTATACCCAAAATGTACCAATGATTAGAATGAATAATCGATAATGTAAAATAGGAAGAAAAGGTCCAAAGGGGTAGGGGTAGTGGGAGGGGCAGGGGAAAGGAAAGAAGGGAAAGGAAAAATGATGAGAAATGGAAAAAATGGAAATAAAGTCTTTGTAAATAGGGAAGGGTGGAGGGGGTGAAGGGAGGGCTAGGAATGGGGAAAAAATAAGAACCAAGATGCATTATGTAAAGGTACAATCCCCAATGAGAAATATAATTGTATTGTATACCTGCGATGTACCAATAAAAGAATTTAATAAAAAAAATTTTTAAAAAAGAAGTGTTTATTCAGCAAGTTTAGAATTCCTTAACAGGTAATTAGCTATTTTTTCTATTCTTTTTTAAAAATTCTCAATATTATTCCTTTAATCATTCATTTTCAAAACAGTTCTCAGGCCTGGGCCTTCTCCTGCCTTGCCTGAGGTCCTAAATATTAAGATAAAAAGTGCAGAGACAGGTTTGACTTATATCATTACAGATGCTTATTAAACTTTATTAAAACCTCATGGTGTCTTCTGACATCTTGGAAGTAGGGGATTCAAATTCTGAGTCTATTCTCAATCCAGCAGCCAGTGTAATCCTGTAAATAGAATTTAAGTTACTCCTGTGTTTGAACCCTTTAGTGGATTCCCATCTTGCTCAAAGTAAAACCAGTCGGCTTGCTTACTGGGCTCAGTGGTCTGGCCCCACTGTTTTATCTAATATAATCTGTGGACACACTGGCCTCTGTGCTGTCCTCAGAAACCTTGGACATGCACTCTCAGTTTTGTTTTCCCTGTTTGCAATGCTTATGTATCTGAATATCCAAATGGCTTCCTCAAGTCTTTGTTCAAATGCTTTTTCAGAGGGCCCTTCCCTGGACACTCTAATTTTGCATTTATTCCTTCTAAAGTTGCAAACCCTATAATAACACTTTCTTCTCTGTCCCTTCCCTGCTGTATTTTGCCTCTCAGAATTATCACCGTGTCCCTTACAGTATTTTATTATGTTTTCCGACACTTCTCCACTAGAATATAATTTCCATAAGGGCAGGGATTTTTCTGTTTACTGCTGTTATAGTGCATGGCACATAAAGACACTCAATATGTGTTTATTGAAGTAATGAATAAATCAATCTAATTGAAGGAATAAAATGTGAGGGAAAAATGTATATAAATTAAAAACTTCTCTATACATTTCAACATTTACTAAACACTGCCAAATTTAGCTCTTCTTTCATCACTGTAACAACTACATTCCATACTTAGCAGTGGGATTACTATGAGCAAAAATAGAAGAGAGCTTCTCCTAAATTTCAATTTGCCCTTGGGCATGTGGGGATTGAAGAAACATCAATTTCAAATTCATCATGGTCATCCTGCTTTCTCTCATGGGCTCTTGGTATTGTGATATGCCTGATAACACTTAAAGTCCTCCTTTGGAATCCGAGTACTGCTTGAGAGTAAGGATGTTGCTCAGACCCATACCTATACCTTCTCATTAGATGATGAGGCCTATAGAATAAATATGGGGAAGGAACCTGCCCTCCTCATATATACCCTAGAAACAAAAGAAAACTAAAAATTAGGATCTCAAAACATTGGAAAGTAGCAGAAGTACTATCAAAGATAAGGGAGAAATGTGCAAAGATAGCCAGACTGGGTATCTCACCCCATTCCTTGCACTATCTGCTTTTTAAAGCTTCTTTGGCACCAACCTCATAAGAGTGTAGACTGCAAAAGTGAAAAGACCAAAGACAGCAAATGACTCCAATGCAAAGTTCCTATAGATCTAAGCCATCCCATAGCCAGAACAAAGAACTCTGAGTTCGCTGAACTTGCCATAGTGTCTTCTGATTTTCTGGCAATGTGGTGCATGCTATCTGACTGAAAATACTCCTTCCTCATCTTTATGCCCATTGCAGACCTGGCAATTCTAGAATTCTGGTTACCTTTCATAATAATTATCATTTACATTATAATTTTGTAAGAACCCAGCTAAGTAGAACTGCTTTTCCCCCTAGTTTTTCTTTATTTGGATTTAAAACTCTACACCACACACACACACACACACACACACACCCACACACCCACACACACACACAAATGTCACCAACTGCACAATCCACCACATTTTTTAAAAACACACACATACTTTTAAACGTTTGAAGGACACTTTGTTGTTAAGGATCTAATATATTCAGGAGTCCCATGTATTATTTCTTCAGTAGTAAAGAATGCCTGTGATCACAGAAGTAATAACCCCTCCAATATTTAATGTGCTAGGAGGGAAGAACAAAGACTCTAAGGGAGCAATTCAAGTGTATGAATGATGGGCCATTATGACAGCCACCACCTACAGAGTAACTAGGGAAACTGAAAACAAGGAAGGAGTAGCATCACCGTCAACACTGCACAGTTTCAGGGAGCATGGCTCAATTCCATTCTCCACTTCACCTAAACAAACCTGTTCTTCTCAGTTTGAGACTAACATCTTGGTCCAATCAATAATTACACTTTTTAAAAAGCAAATTCTGGTACCCTGGTTTATGACGTATTCAAAATTTATATTCACAAACATGTCCTTATAATTATGCAACACTTTAAACTACTCATTTCTTCTAACATCTTTGTAAAGGATTCATAAATAGTTTTTTATTTTTTGTAAATGGTTATTACCACCATTTTTCAAAGTAGAATAGTCGAGCCCATTAAAGTTAAAAGATTAAAAGATCTTACTATTATAAATCTCCATCATTTTCACTAATTCCATGCCTATTATGTACTATACAGTCACAAGAATTTAGAATTTTCAAAAGGTTCTAAATGTTGTTTTAAGCTTTGGGAAATCTCTATTTGATATTGCTTAAGCTTGACTGTGAACTTCTCATGTATAAAACAGTATCTTTAGTCCAATGCTTTACATGTGTCTGATACAATAAAGGTTTATAGATTTAGTTAAATATGCTATCATCTATTCAAGACTTGGTTATAAAACCCATGGACATTTGCTTTCTTTCTGACTCCCTATCCTGGGGTCATACTTCTCGAAATGTTATCTTTACCTTCATTTTAACTAAAACCTAGTTGTATACTGACGATTTCTTCCCCCGCAGCCCTCTCAAGCTTTTTCTTCCACAGCCATTAATGTTGGTATAGGCTAGATGGTACTGTATATATTCTTCTCCTTCCTTATTGCTACACTCTTATTAGAAAGCAGTAAAAAATGAGGAGAGAAAATTAAAATTTCATATATCCACACTTCTGATGATTGCTGTTATTTTTCCAGGTTTTTCCGTAAATGCTGCCATCTCACCAAGGAGCTCAAATCCACTTGCCCCTTTTAACTCCTCACCACCCCCTTCTGGTCCTCATTTCCCCTCACCAGTAAAGGTCCATAGTCCCTTTTCTAAAACCTGTGGGAACAAATATACTTCAGAATCAGGTTGTTTTTTAATTGTGATAAACGTGATATAAAATTTACCACTATAACCACTTTTATATGTATGGTTCAGTAATGTTGATTACATTCACATTATTGTACAGCTAATCTCCAGAACTCTTTTTTTCAATCTTGTAAAATTCTGTCAGTGGAATAACAACTCTCCACTTCACCACTCCCCCTGGCCCTTGGCTATAAACATTTTTTCTCTGTTTCTGTGAATTTAACTATTCTCGATGCTTTAAGTGGAAACGCAGTATTTTTTTGTTTAGGGATCGACTTATTTCACCCCGCATAATTTCTTCAAATTCATCCATGTGTCAAAATTTCCTTCCTTTTAAGGCTGAATTATGTATGTTCCACACTGTTTATTCATTCACCCTCCAAGGAATACTGGGTTGTTTACATATTTTAGATATTATGAAAAATGCTGCTGTGAACATGTGTGTACAAGTATCTCTTCAAGACCCTAAGCCAAGCATAGTGGTGCATCCCTGCACTCGGGAGGATGAGCCAGGGGCATCACCAATGAATCTGAGGCAAGGCTGGGCTACATAGTAAGTTTAAGTCCAGCCTGAATTACATAGCAAGATCCTGTCTCAAACAAACAAAAACAAAATAAAACAAACACCCTGCTTTCAATTCTTTGGGATATATATA